GATTCTTGCTACAGTGATGGAAAGCATTTTTCCATTGCTGTAGTTAATCCACCCCCTCAAGAGGTGGTAGCTAAGGTATCGAATTCTCCGATAGACCTAGTGGTGCCTACACCAGAGCGTAGGTCAGTTTAACTACATCTCTCAGGGGGGGAAGGGAGGGGAGATTTGACATAGTTAGGTTGAACTAAGTTTTAGGTGTAGAGCAGGCCTGAGAATTAATAGGCAGCCAGTACAGATCCAAAAGCACTAGTTTAATGGTATCCCCCAAAGATGTAACCTGTAACATTTCAGTTCCTTCAGTTTCTCAATAGATTTGAAGTGTAACCCCACATAGAGTGCACTTCAGTAGCCTAATCTGGAGGTGACAAAGGTGTGGATGACAGTTGCACATTTCATATCTGAAAGAAATTAATGCAATCTCCTGGCCATACAGAGATGAAAAAAAGCTGATCTGTAGCTGCTACCTGATCTTCTAATAGTAGCTGGGAGTCCAACCAATCTCTTCGATTGCACACCTGCTCCACACATGGCAGGGGAGCTCACTCCAAACACAGGGACTGATATTAGAGAGCAAGAGAAAAGTTTGTCTTATTCAAAAAGGAATCTTGTTTATATAAAATTGAATAAATCCAAGAGTTTAGAGACAGTCATAGTTAACAGGTTCACATGCAGTGAGATTTAGATGCAATGGACCTTTTTCAGGGCCGGAGGAACAGAGCTGGATGAAGTATTAGCAGTAAGCCAGCAGCACTGGATGTATTTTTCTAAATCTAATTTTTGAAATTAGGGCTGTCAAACGATTAAAAAAAAATCACAATTAGTTGCAAGATAAAAATAATCACGATTAATGGCCGTTTTAATCGCACTGTTAAACAATAATAGAATACCATTTATTTAAATATTTTTGGATGTTTTCTCCATTTTCAAGTATATTGATTTCAATTACAACACAGAATACAAAGTGTATAGTGCTCACTGTTATTTTTTATTACAAATATTTTCATTGTAAAAAAAGATAAACAAAAGAAATAGTATTTTTCAATTCACCTCATACAAGTACTGTAGTGCAATCTCTTTATCGTGAAAGTGCATCTTACAAATGTAAAATTATTTTAAAAATTTATATCACGGCACTGAAAGAGCCTACAAGCCTACTCAGTCCTACTTCTTGTTCAGCCAATCACTAAAACAAACAAGTTTGTTTACATTTATCGGAGATAATGCTTGCCCTCTTCTTATTTACGTCACCTGAAAGTGAAAACAGGTTGTAGACGGCGTTGCAAGACATTTACATACCAGAAATACTAAACATTTGTATGTCCCTTCATGCTTCGACCACCATTCCAGAGGACATGCATCCATGCTGATGACGGGTTCTGCTTGATAATGATCCAAAGCAGTGCAGACTGACGCATGTTCATTTTCAACATCTGAATCAGATGCCACCATCAGAATGTTGATTTTCTTTTTTGATGGTTCAGGTTCTGTAGTTTCTGCATCGGAGTGTTGCCTTTTAAGACTTCTGATAGCATGTTTCATACCTCGTCCCTCTCAGATTTTGGAAGGCACTTCAGATTCTTAAACCTTGTCAAGTGCTGTAGCTATCTTTAGAAATCTCGTATTGGTTTCTTCTTTGCGTTTTGTCAAATCTGCAGTGAAAAATGTTCTTAAATTGAACAACATGTGCTGGATCGTCATCTGAGACTGTCCTAACATGAAATACATGGCAGAATGTGGGTAAAACCACAGAGCAGGAGACATACAATTCTCCCCCAAGGAGTTCAGTCACAAATTTAATTAACATATTATTTTTTAACGAGCGTCATCAGCATAGACGCATGTCCTTTGGAATGGTGGCTGAAGCATGAAGGGACATATGACTGTTTAGCCAGGATTGGTTACAGGCATTGTCTTTGGTGTAAGAACTAGGGTACCACTTGATCTGGGGTAAATAAACTGATCTCTCGGGACTGGAGGCAACCTGAATATGTTGTGATTTTTGGTGTAAGGGACCATTTGTCACTAACTACAGCTTGCCTGGGTAGCAAGATAGACTGGACAGTCTAAGGCCTGGTCTACACTAACACCCCAATTCGATCTAAGGTACGCA